AAAGGATTTTCAATATGTACCCCATTTCTATCTCTCACTTCTACCTCTTGCCTCATCCTCTTAACTATGAGCCGACCAATCACTCGTGCCAAGAATGCAAGCCAGCACCCTGGACAAGTTGTGTTGGACGCTCAGCCCAAGCGTCAGACACGAACCAAAGTAGCAGAAGAAAGAAAAAACAAAGCCCACAACAACGAGATGACCGCACTTGCTATCAGGCGGGCACTTTCAGCTGTGGAAAAAGAGGAAGACAAACAAGCAAGGGAAGACTTAGCAGCAGAAAATCCAGTTCCACCTCCTTCTCAGCGCCAGCGTGCTCAGCCAAAGATGGCATCAAAGACTTCAGGACCTGGCATTGCTCCCAGGCATCAGAAAAGCAACCACATGGTCATTCCTGATAGCAAAGAAGAAAGAGTGTCTGTTGGAGGTAATGAACAACACAAAGGAGACTCTGACCTGTCCACCCCACCATCATCTCAAGTTCAATGCAGAAGCAGCCAAGCTATTGATATTCCTGCCAGTGAGGAAGGCATTGCAGAGACTCATTGCGGAGACTTTGATGATGGGACTCAGCTTGATATGGCTGATCCAGGTGATTGTTCAATCAATGAGAGTGGGGGCCTGGGTGTTGCTACAAGAGGAAGAGTTAGTAAGCATACTGAAGTTGATGAGAGGGCCAGAGAGGACGTTGAAGAAAGCGACGAGGAAGAGCGGCCAAAGAAGAAGAAAAAGATGAACATGAGGGAAGCTGTCAGTGCACTGTGTAAACAATCTGATGGCCCGGTTAATCAGAAGGTGCCTTGCCTCATCAGTGCATCTATCAACCATGAACCGCCACTAAGTCAATCAGAACGTGGGAGGCAACAGCCGCATGTCAGGTTCGAGTCATTTTCCCTAATTTGCTTGATTCCATTATACTCATGCAATTGTCACCCATGATATTACTTACACCCTCAACTCTATTTTACCACAATCTCAGGATATTGGATGGCTCAGCTGTGCAATCCTTTGAACTTGATGTAGTTGAAGATTGGGCTAATCATGTTGCTAGCAATGCTGATTCCATCAAAAGCCAGGGCAAACTACTTGCCACGAACAGCAGATTGTCGTCTCAAATTACTGGCATTGAAAAGTCCAAAAAAACAACTTCAACAGCTCTAACATCCTTATGTAGCACGGTCAACTCATCTAATGCCCATGCAAATGATGATAATGATGGCAGCCTGTATCATCCTGGTGGATTCATTGACTCGGATGAGGATGAAGCAGATGAGCGAATAGCTTTAATAGGGAAAAAGAGGACCACTACATCAGTACGTATCCCCACTCTACACAGTCCACTCACTGAACTGGCTTTTAGAATCTGGTCACAATAAAAGAAAAACCACTGACAAAACGAATCAAGAAGGAGATGCCCAGCTCTTGAGTGAAGTCAAAGAACCCGTGATCTCCCTGAGGGATGTCACATAGACAATAGATGGTGCTTGGTCTTTGTACCAACATTTCAGCAATGGCTTGGTACCTCCAAGAATCCATGGAATCTCAATGATCCCAAAGTATTAATTGCTATGCAGGCGATCTGGGATATTGTGTATCCTAATATTGTGTACCATGTTAGTGTGAACTGTCCTGTTTATTGTGTAGTAAGTAATTTCCCCATGTTTTTCTTCTTTGTTACATCTCACATACCCTTTTAGCTTGGCCAACGAGTCTACAAGTGGCGTAACAGTTTCAGTGCTTCAGCACAGGCAATGTTGGAGTATTTATTCGATACTATGCCTGACTTCAGGTCTCAGGAATCTCGTCAGTTGTTCTCAAAGTCTATGCTAGAAGATCTGGCCTTTTTATATGAGGCTGTTGGACCGGAGAGATCAGTGAGTTCACCCACTTGTATTTATATCCAATGTAGTATCCATAATAATATATTCTTATATTACTAGAAGTATTGGGGAGCATTCCGCTCCCCTTTTATTTTACAGATATTTGCATCCCATTTAGATGCAATTGTTGGACGCTTGTAAGTCATAACAAGAACCCTAATTTGCTTGAAATGTCTTAGTTCAACATTGTCTTGAATGGTCTTGATTGAGCCATTAAGACATTGTAAGGTTCAAAAAGCGGTTTGTACATTTATGTAAGAGACCGTCCATAGAAGATTAGGTCCACAGTTTTGAAGGATGCCCTTGGATCTTTACCGCTAGTTCTAGGAATGCCGGTGATGATCACAGAGAATGCTGCAATCAATAGCAAAGTAGTTAATGGAAGTGAGGGGACCCTCAGGGATGTTATATGGGAGACTGACGAAGAGGGCCATCATTACGCATGGTGTGCTTAAGTTCATGTACCCGCCGCTACATTGACTTTGCCTGGATTAGAGGAAGGAAGGGTGCCTGTGTTTCCAGCACCCACTACATTCAAATACAAAATTAATGAGACGTCACATTCAATATCAAGAAGGCAATTACCTATGCTGCCAGCCTTTGCGTTTACAGATTACAAATTCCAGGGACGTTCATTATGAAACATCATTGTTGATCTTGCTAGCACTACTTGTCTACAAAATGTCTATGTCATGCTATCTTGAGCAACTTCATTAGAAAGCATTGGAATATTATGTTTATTCTCATCCCATGATGTATACAAACAACTTTTTGGTGAGTTGCGTGAAGAATTTGCACGCTTAGAGGATCTAGACATCATTATAGCACTTGAATTTGAGAGTGAATTTGACTATCTTGGTGCAACCTTGCCAGTTATGAATGAAGCATAACTTTTAAACAATGATGAGTTGAACACCATTTGGAGGAAAATTGATTATCTGTTCTTGGTTACTCATACACAACCTAAATCGTTCCATCTGCATTTGTTTGGGAAGCCTTTTGGAGAGGTTAGTGGGTATTTAGTTACCAGCTTGGGTCAAAGCGCTTTGCGGTGAGCTTTTCTGTAGTCATTCTGCCAAAAAACGCGTCAAAATCACTATGAGCATTATTGACAAATGACTTTAACACGATTATCGGAAAAATATCCTACATCTATCTATTGTCTCAGCTAACAACGTAACTTCCTTCAACTCTAAGAATGTTCTCCAATTGCATTTTTTCCATTGCACTGAATGGAATGCCTCCCAATTAACTTTGTCAATCTCAGAATTATCCTGCGGCATCAGAGAAAACCATCGTTGCATCACGCGTAACATCACTAAATCTCCTTCAATAAGATCTTCTACTTTGTATGTGAAAGGCTTTTCTCCTGCCGTAAGATATTTGTGGCCATCATTGACCTCACAATCAAATGAAAAATTGTTCTACAAACTTGATAGTCAGTGAAGCTCTTTGTATCTTGGATTGACTCACCGCAAACGTCTTGACCACATCATCTCTCTCAGACCAGACTTTGAAACAATGGTTCAATGTCATGAATAAAACATTGATATTTACTTACTGCCTTGAGGGAAAGCAGTTTTAGCAAGCCATTCCCGCAGTACATGTGTTGTACCATAACCAACTTCAAATGCAAATACTCCTCACCGGCAGTGAAAAGGTCCATGTCATGGATATAACCGATAACATTCATCTGCATGGTTTGCTCCCCAGTATGATCGCACAGAAAAGATGTTTTGGTGTCATCATGATTATCATGCCAACCCCCTTAATTTGCATCTGGTGGCATCAACTCTGGCGAATACAGAGCTAATGATGGTTTTGCAAAATTCAAAAGAGTATTGAGTTTCCTGAGTTAACGCTTTATCAGTCTATCAGAATAGATAAATGAAAGATTTTTTGTTCACATTGTGGTTTCCCTATCGTAGTACTCTGCAAACGATCCATGAATCTGTACAGACATCTTGCTTAGAAAAGATATCCTCATATTGCAGAACTCTGGTGTTCTTTTATGTCCTCCTTTAAGACCGATGACGTCCTCTGTTATGCGAAAATAAAGGAGCTGTTGATGTAAGTTAAAGTAACGTACTGAACTCATGCTTGTGTTCCCTTGATACAATACAATGTTGATCTTCGTCTGACAGTAACACTGTCAAAGTTGAGCATGTTATTTCAACAAACCAAATGACATTGAGACTTCCTTAGGAGCAACAGAAAACGGGTATTGATCATGGTGAAAGAACATGCCATAATGCTTTTGCATTCAACATACCATTGCTATACAGTATCAATTATCATGATCTGACAGAAATGTGGACCTTGAACTTTTTCAAACTCAGGTCTTGATTGCGGTGGAGTTGCTCTTTTGTATTGGCCGCATTATTGTGTTGCCGCCATCTAGCTCTGCATCTTATTCTTGAAATATGCAATTCCCGGGGCTTTATTGCTTAGTATAAGTGCATCACATCTAACCACATTGTCTGGGCCTCATGTATTTCAATGTCTTATTCATATCATTTATCAATTATTTCAATGCGAGCAATTGTCCTTATCAAAGCTTCTTTGCTAAGTATAATTCACTATAAAACTCTACCTCTGCCACCTGAAAGCGCACTCTTTTCTTTTTCTTTAGCTCCCTAACATGTCATATTTGACCAGTAAGTAAGCTTTCTTTGTCCAATGTGTACTTTAATCCCTTTCGATTTTCTTAGATAACAGCAACATCCTTGTGTGCTATCTTTGGGTGTGCACATTGGGAAATAAAGAAACTCCTGCTGTGAGAGCCGCAGAGCTTCAAAAGTGGCAAATTGTTCCTCACACCTTAGACAAAATGCTGGAATGGGCGCATATCATACAAGGCGAGAATTGTGTAGACTCCACTCGAGGATATCAATTAGTCTACTCTTTGCCCTCTCCAAAAGTTGAAGGAGAAGTTTACCCCGTGTCTATTTGCCTGCATGGTTTTATCAAGACGTCACAATTGGCTACTTTAGGCAACTGGAACGGGTATTAACACTATCTTTGTCTAAATTTCAGCGTTGACATTATCTATTATAGAAATGATGAAATAATTTGAACTGCGTGTCAGTCATTAGTTCTGACTTGTTCAGGTCAAACTAGCAAACCGCTTCTTTAAGCGTGATCTGCAAATTGGTTAGCAAAATGCTTGCCCCTGGCTGACAGCTTCAATCCATGCCAAACATTCATCAAAATCTCTACATGCAAAGAACAGTGTTCAAAAAGGTAATTTCTTCCTTGTCTCAATCTACCGCGCTGACTGGCTCCAAAGAGGCAGGAAAACTGCGATGGACCACCAGATTTCTTAGCAGCACCAGACAATCCTAACCATTATTATGAGCGGATTAGCGCAGAATAGAACACCAATGACAAATTGCTTGTCGCAAAATATAATGCTACCAATCAACTGACAGTGATAAAACACCTTCTTCTGTCGCCTGGAGATTTCGTTGAAGTAGGTGTAGAATTTGATATTGTTGTAAAATGTGGTGCCTCCGGACAAAAAACGGTGAAAGTTTTCCCAACCTTCACTCATATTATCCAATTACAAGAGAGCGTTGCAGCAAGGTCAGTAAGTCCTCTCTAATTGCTCCTAAATAAATACATTCATCTATTGCTTTTTCTAGTCCAATAACCAACCAAAGAAATGTAGCGCTCACAATGCGACTATGTCTATGAAACGTACCAAAGTTAGACAAACTCTTGACATTGCCACACATTTGCCGAAGTAAAATTATTAACATAAAAGACATGGCATTATACAAAATGCCCAATAAATTACTTCTGCTATAAAACATCCAAGCAATCATATCCTCACATGATCACCACATTCAATGGCATGTTTCATTACAATTAGAATTTTTGATATTCGATCATTCTCTGATTTTTGATTGACTTTAGGACAATACAATTAATTCATATGGTACTCCTAAGTCTTGAGGCTCTATTTATTTGCTCTGATGTAAATTATGACGCTGACAGTTTAGTCACTTGCCATGTTTGCACATAAATACCTTGTCTCAACTGCCATCAAAACCTTTATTCAACTTTCCCACTATGACTACTAAAAGATCTCTGGCTTCTATTACAGGCCAGACCAAAAAACCTGTTTAAAGGCCTTGGCAAGTCACCTTTTCCTTTATATTTTACTCTCTACTGATAGAGCTTTAGTGTAGAAACTGATATCAAGAATACCAATGACAACAACACAAATGTCCCTTTCCCAACAGATGTTTCCTTGCCCGCTTTAGACCATGCTTGTACTTTGGACAAAGGCAAAGGCATTGACAGGGGTCACAAGAAACCCTCTCAAACTTTACCAGTGAGTAACTTATTACTTGCCATCTTTGTGCAAGCCTTCTGACATCACTTTACAGAAGGCAACAACATCAATTATGCCTGCTGCAGATGTTTCCAAAACACCCGATAAGTCTCACCAACTCCTCCTCCAACTGCCAAAGACTAAAATGCTGGCTTTGGTATTGCTGTGTTCTTCCTTTTTTTTGCCATACTCATTTTGTTGTTAGCAACCAAAACACTCATCAATGGAAGTGGCAATCTGTGCGTCTTCAATAGGGGCTGCTATGCCCCAGCCAATCTTGAATGCTATTGATATATCAGAAATTGCTCACTATACTGAGGACTTTCAAATGTAAGTACAAAAAAAAAGACATGAAATGTGTTGTCTCACTGTTCTTTCTTCAGTCGAATCCATCGCTTCGTCAATTTTGCCAGCAATGCAGTCAATATCTACTCCATTTCCAAATTACCAAGGCACTTCACTTGGGGCCCAGAACGCGCTGTCAACAACCACAGCACAAGAATATGCAACCCGCTAACTGGACAACCAGCAACCGTGTAGATTGTAGGCCACATTTTGAAAGTATGGTTTACTTACGACAATGAACCGGATAGGAAAGCTACTGTTGGTGTAGTTCCCCTCTCATCAGAGACAGCAGACAAAGTCACAACAATGTTATTCAATCTTTCTGCGATGGACAGTTTGTCTTGCACTTGAATTTTGTCCATATGTCTGATTTTGGCGTCCTATATTTCTGCTTGCCCTTAGATCTTGTTGACAAAGGACTAGAAGACATCAAAGCAATAAAATGGCAAAGTAAACTTGTCAGAGGACAAAATTTGCCCGTCAGTAAGTCTTATTGTTGTCCTTGAATTTTACTAACCTCCCTCAGGCAACATTGTGTGATACTATCTATGATGCTCAGGATGCTTTTTGCGACAAAAAAAACATGTTACAATATCACGCATTGGATTTGAAAATAGGAGATCTTGTCCTGATGGAAGTCAACATTGTACATTATAAAATAAAGACAGATGAAAGACAGAAGGCTCTCAACCGCTGGGTGGTGTATTGGACCCACCTTGAATTCATGAGACTATCTTTACTCTATTGTAGCAACACCACACAAGAGAACACGGAAGAGGACGAAAGTGTTATCCCAGAATTTGTTTTGTAATAAATAACTAAATTACATAGCTTTGTTCGATCATAAACAAGTTCCAATTCTTTTGTAGCATAGAATTCTTTTTCTCAAAATTCTAATGGAATACAATAAAACCATACATTTCCCTCACTCCCTTGCCTATAATTCTTGTTTCTCCCGCTCACAATGATGTCTGATCCTGTTGCACGCTGTTGATGATAAGAACTGTTGTTAGAAAAAAACACACACAAAAACAAACTAACACACAATCCTCCCAGATTCCACAGAACTTGTTTATGGGCTTTGCCTCCTAGAACAGTGGAGTGGTCTGGTTGTTTGTGGGGTGGTACGTATAACAATCCTTCAAAGTAAAACCCAGAGATGTATGAGTGTGGGTTTTGAGGAGGAGGGATAGTTGAATTTATAGAAGATAGGGGCTTAGTGACGAGTATACATGAGCACTACCTTGCTAATTGTAGCACAAGGTAGGTTTGAGAACAACGAGGATGACGAGGTGACGAGGTTCCCAGTGATAGCAGGCTCCTGACGCACAGACTGTAGTGCTCAGAAGGGCTCTAATCGAAAGGGATGACAATCACTTTCAAAAGTGACAAGTGACGATGACAGCAGTTGACAGTGGTAGCAGTGGGAAGTGTTGTGACCACACTGGATCACAAGTAGTAGTGAGTAGTGAACTTGAGATTAGAAAAGAAGTCTGAATTCGAGTTCTTGTTGTTTTTTTACAAGGTAAAATACAGGGGTTTATATAGTGAAAGAAAAGTAGGCTATGCACAGTATAGCTGTGCAAAAAGAATGAGAAAGAACATGAAGGAAGGAATTTATGCTGACAAATCCTGCGTAAGTAGTACAGGATAAAATTGTCAAAATAAGGAAAAGAAAGAGATAGAACAATGAATGCTGTGAGTAATGTCACAGGTTTGTACAGCCATAAAGTAAAGTCCAATAGCCTTACCAATGGACTGGTTGTGTTGGATTACCTGGTCAAACGACGGAGGGAGAGGAGTAGTCCCAATTTGGAACAAGTGAGTCCCAGGCAGCGTGTGGTAGGTGTAGCTGTAGCGAAGACGATGGACAAATGATAAGTGTACCCAAGTGAATGGGACAGCAGTGAACATGGGCAACGCAAGGGGATGAACCTTCTCCAGCTCAAAAACTACCCACCCACGCTCCAACCAGGCAAGATGAGCGACCAATGTTTTGATAGTATATGATGGTAGATTGATGTCATAAAGATGGACCTGTTGCCCTATTTGAACCGGCCACCGGGGCTTTGCTGATATCAGCAGGGGCACGTGGTAGTCAACGGATTGGCGACGGAAGTGGATAGGAAGTGGTGACATCAGAAATGGTGGGGGAGCAAACAAGATGAGGAGGAAGAGGCTGGAGGTGACAAAGAGGTGGATTAGAATGGGGATCCAGAAACGACCGTCAAGTGGGAATAAAAAGGAGAGGAAGGGGCCCATGGTGGGGCTAGGCAAAGGAAGGGGAGTAAGGGAAACGATAAAGGCGAGGGTGCAATGCAATGTGTAGCCAGTGGCGACGCAAAAATTTGCCAAAATGCCGAAACACGGAAAGTACCAAATGGAAAGCAAAGGTGAGCGCGACTAGAGTGCCTAATAGAGGTGGTGCTGATCAGCCACAAGATTGAATAAGGCAATATTAATTACTATTCCACGTGGCACTGTGCCTGTGTGGTGCAAAGGCGAGTCTTTGAAT